TTCCTTCTTGGAATCTATTTTGAATTTTGAAGAGACGTCCAACCGCGCTTATATATTCCCAATGTATACCGTCGGCTTGTCTATCAAGCTCCAAAATAACTCCCATCACCCAACCATACCCCTGACCCCCCTCCTCCCCCCGCTTCCCACCGCACGGGACCATGCGCGCCGCCGTGGTATTCTCGCAAGCGCCACGAACCCCAAACTCCCTGCCCAGCCGCCCAGCCGCCCGGGATCGTTCCTAGCCGGCCCAGTACCACAACAACAACAACCACCCCCAGAAGAAGAAAGCCCCCATCCCGATCTGTGTACACTACACTACCTCCACTCCACTCCATGCGCACGCTCCCCTTTCTCTCCCACGGTCCGCCCACTCACCCAGTCGGTCCCGAGGACGGGTAAATCCGTAGCTCGTTTCACCCCAAGCCAGCAAGTCGGGGCGTGGCGCCCTGCCAACACCTCTCATATATACCACACACCCCCAAGACATGCAGCCCACCTCAGGGTGCCGCTGTATGCGTCGTTGTAAGGGTAAGGTAAGCAAGGCTTTCCCGTCCGTTTGGTTACACAGTAGGTTTTTTGTCCGTCGGGCTTTCCGCCGGCCTGGCTGGTTTGGTTGGCTCGCTGGTATGTACATACCCCCAGACCCAGACCACGCGGCACGGCTCCCTGAACGTGGGCATACATAGCCATTAACATGCAGGGGGGTGGCGAGCCGTGTTTATGGGACAAGAACAAGAAAAGCGCCCCCGCTGGTGGTGGTCCAGAAGTTTGGTCGAACGCCACCTCTTCGCCGTGGGCACGGGGAAGACGTCCATGCACACGCAGGGAGGCGGCGGCCGGGGAGGAGGGAGTCCAATCGCCGCATGGCCCGTTGGTGCCCACGGCACAGAATTGGTCCATACATGCCTATGTATGTGGTGTACAATGGGAAGACGGGATGGACGGGAGGTTTTTGCGGGGGATGCGGGGTCCCATCCCATCCCGTCTCGTAAGTCTGACTTACATACACGGGCGGCATGTTGCAACCCCCCTGGGGAGGCAGAGACGGATGTCAAGTTATGTAATCTGGGGTGCAGCGAAGGGCGGGACAAGCCCCGAATATTTTCATGTTCTGGCCTCCTTGGCGGCTAAGCTTTGGTCCCGAAATAACATGGGATGACCCCGTGGTCGGGTCCGACACGGATCTCCAGTCCGGGGACGCCGATCGCGTCAACGGGCTTCATATCGAACTGAGCTGGAGATGACAGAAAGAGGTTGGCGCCGCCTAACCGGAACATTAGCACGAGGAGCCATTGTGACTAGAGCATAATACAACGACGGGGCTGACGGAATGCTAAGCTCCCGAAGGGAATATCAAGCACCATTGCCTCGAGTTAGGAAGAAACGAGCAAATAAGCTTAGACATAATACATTGTTGTGGTGTATACGCAATATATGCCACACCCCACTGCGCGCTGTCTATGCCGTCGCATGCCGTCCTCACCAAGATCGTGGACCTCGATCCAATACCACCACCCCATAATGTTTGAGCCCGGTTCAAATCCAAATACACATAAAATACAGACGAATACAAAACACGCAAAGCATGATTGAAGGCCAAGAAGCAGCAAAGAAAGGACCGCAAACCACCAGCCGAAAGAGTCAACTCTTCCTCGGCCACCATAACCACCTCAGCAGAGTCCCACCCCTCCACCAATGATAGAAATCAAGTAGATGGAATAATAAAGAAAGAAAACCCCAGATAAGAGCCAAAGAAACCAAACTAAAATGTGTTCCCCATCCGTTTTACATTCCCCGAGAGCCGCAAAATGACCACCCATCTCTCAATCTATCCCCGCACAACCGGTTCATCATATGTCGTAAATTTATTTCGTTAGCCGCAGGGTCTAGTGACACCACATCGGCTCTCTCCACTCGGAGAGCCATGCCGATGTGGTTCTGTCGCCATCCCGGGGCTAGGCTCCACTAACCCGGATGAATGCCGGTCTCCACCCGTTCGCCGAGCCGAAAAGGTGGATACTCCCGTCCCTCTCCCGTGCCGTGCCGTGCCGTCCATCCCGTCCGTCTAGTTTCGTGAAAGCCTCATTGAGCCGCCCAGATGTAACCGGGATGGCGATTTAAAATCCCGCTCTCATGTCGACCCGCGATTACTGCACGAGGCAATGAGAGGGAAGGTAATAAGAATAATGGGAAACGGAGCGGAAATCGACGGTTGAAAATGGCCCGTGTCCCTCCACGGCTTCGGGCTTGGCCTTGGGTTCGGAGAATTGAAACATTGACAGCTTTCAACTGGCCAAGAAGTATTAATCCCTTGGATCCCGACGTCGCGTTAACGAATAAGCTTCCTACGCTATTGCGGTAGCTCCCGGAGAACTCCAGACGCCTTCCGAGTCCCGACTAGCGGTGCCAAATAAGTGGGAAGAAAGCATGTTCGTTTTGGGCGGCGTGCAGCCCAGGACCGAACTTGACCGTAGCCGAAGTCTCGAGTTGCCGCGCCATGTGTCGCAAATCCCCCAATCTAGCCATTAGGAAACATTGCGCTCAGGCTCGCCTCCCAAATTGGCAAGCTTGGGTCGTGCATGTCTTGACGGATTAGGAAGCCCCATGGGCGCATCGACAAGTTAAAGCGCCCAACACGCTGCAAGGGACAGTTCAAGTCTCCCGCATCGACGCCACTGCATCAAAGGAGCGGTTGTAAGACCACGTCACTCCACCAGTGCGCAACCGTGTAAAAGGCGGCGCAGGCCCGTTGACCACAGATGCATCCTGCAGACAACAGGACTCGACCACGCACGACTACCGCCCATAATAAACGTTCGAGGAGTGATGCTGTCCGGACGGGTGCTGTCCCGACGAGTGCTGGTCTCCTGCTTCCCCATACCACCCGCTGCCATAGCCTTCGCCGGGCTTCGAGTACGAGTACGACTGTTGCCACGAAGAGTAACTCGATGGTGGTACGGAGCCTGCGGACAGCGAAACATTCGGGTCCAATGTGGTACCCGGCACCGTCTCAATTCCAGGAATGGTGGTTGCGATAGGCGGAGGGTACATATCAACTGACACGGAGCCCGACTTGCGATCGTACCCGCGAGATGAATGATGGTTGGGTTGCGACATCGACGGGTAGTGGGTGTGGCCGCTCATGCTCTCGGCACCGAAAGACATGGACCGGGGCGGCGGTGCTGGATACGACGACCAAGTGATATCATCCCTAGAGGAAGAGTCGGAGCCTACCGACGCCGACCATGCCACCGACGACGGCGCATGCGGCGTGTAAGGAGAAAACGCCGGGGTGACGGGGGAATCGCCCGGATACGATCTCCAGGTCGCGTTCATGTCGTTCGGCTTGGAAGAATTAGGACTCGCGTCTGCCGGCATCCAACTGGACATCCCATGCTGCCCGTACTCATAGGCGCGGGTGCTTGAAGCTACAGGGTCGTTAGCAGCCCGGACACCACCGCGCGGGACTATTCGGTGACCAAGATTAGTACTTACACTTGGAGTCAGAGGGATGGCTGTCGCTCCCGGAGGGCTTCATAGGCGGGGCCATGTTCTGAATGGGCGGCATCGCCAACTGAGGATAAGGTTGCTGCCCGTGAATTTCAGATGGGATTCCGGGTTGCATTGCTGGCGAGGAAGAGGCCGAGGTGACCTTGGGGCCAACCGAAGATCGCGATCCCGACTTCTGCCTCGTGTCTACGACCGGTTGCTGGTCAACGGGATAGAAGCTGCACTCCTTCTTCAAGCGTATACAGTTTATGCAGCGCCCCTGAACGTCGTTTTGCGAAGGGACACATCTGATCTTCCGTCGACGGCAATGGCCTACGCTGCGTGTCAGCTCTAAAACCCGGGGGCTGGGGGATTCCATGGGAGAATATACCGCACGCAACAGACGTCCGATGGTATCCCAACTTATTTCTCCTTCTCTCGGCGGCAGCATCCTGTCCCGAAGCACCTGCTTGCTGAGGGGACTGCTGCGGATGCCCCTGCGGCGGCCCGACGACCGGCGTCGATATCGACCGTCTCAACTCAGAACGCTCCCTCGGGATGCTCGAATCGGGGTCCATCCCTGATGAAGCATGGGGCGCCACGGAATAACTGGGCAAGTAACCGGATGGCGCCATGTCCATGTCGGCGCCGTTTGGAGGCGGCGGGGGATATTGGTATGCCATGATGTCTGTCATGGGCTCCCTTCGTGGCACGGCAGGAGATGTTGCGGGGCTCCTTGATGCCCAGGCTTCCAAGGTGGATTTCGAAGGCGGCTGAGCAACAGCTGCCATGTAAGAATGTTGCTATAGTACGGCACAACAGCGCCCTAAATGGGAACAGCCGAAGGCGAGCGGACTAGGGTATGGTGACCAAGGTCGGAACGAAGGTCGAGCCGGGGTGAAAAGTTGAGCTGCTCTTGCGATGAGTGATGCTTTTTACTAACCAGAAAGCTCCCTACGGTAGATCCAAAATGGCACAGGTCAGAGGCCGAAGTGTGGATGTGGTCGTGACCCAGATATGACGCCAACAGGCCGGACGACGACAAAGATAGACGCACTCGGTGGCAGGGAGCGAAAGTGACTGGCCAATCGAGGCGGTGGTTCTGCGGTTTGCAGCAACTGGGGCAGGCAGGATCCAAGGAATATGACTGGCAACTCAATTCACCCTTTTCGGTTCAGGCTGGCCCGGTCCGAGCTGATAGACAACCGCGACGACAGGAGCGACGCTCTGCAAGGGGGCGCACGGCAGCAAGAGCTTGGGCTATATGTGACTCCGAATATGCACCGTTCGTGCGCTGCGAAGCAGGTGCCAAATGAGCGATGGGTTGCGTGTTGGTTATTTAGGTGCGCGCCTAAGATCCGAGGGGGTATGGGCGGGCGCTCAACAGCTGGATCGATCCTGGAACGCAAGGGGGTGTTATGTGAAGAGGTTACTGCAGCGCACGACCGGTCGAACCGAGTGGTGACTGCAATGGAACAGGAGGGCAAAAGCGAGCCCAGTAGCCGCGTCGAAGGCTCGGCTCACACCCCGAATTTTTGGAACCGATCGAGGTGGTCGTGGGTTGGCAGAACAGGGGGATCCCGCAGGTACTGTTTTTGGAAGTCCCTGTGCAACCTTCCGGGTGATTTGGCGTGGACGTTCGTTCGAGGTGCCGGTGATGGCTTGGAAATCGGGACCGTCGGGCGCGCAAGTCTGCGGGCGCAAAAGCTTGAATATCTCGGTGGCTGCAGTCTGGCGCTTGTTGTGATGAGATATCACGAATCGATCTTGCCAGGGGTGATCAATGATCGCTAGTCTTGGAGGGTAGTAGGCATGGGGTGCCTCCGGGCTGCCAACAATACTCGGGGGCCGAGCAGGTAAGGCACAGCCTCTTTGGCCAACGCAGTTCAATGAGACGTGGCCGGTTGCTTTGATTGAGTACCGCTGAGGCAATGACAGAGCAGGTGCGATGAGTCGGCAATCAAGAGCTCCAACGGGGAGGAGGGGGTTCACTTCTATTACCGAACTGCGGGATAAGCAGCAGGCGTACTGGCCATTCAGGTTTCGAAATTTCAGCCCTTTTCGCCTGCAGAAAGGGAAGGCAGGTCCGGTTGGCGCGGCGTAATGGTTGGTAACGAACGGCGTGGCGACGGCGGCGTCGACCACAAAGAGCCTCGAGATGGAAACGACTGGCTTGCCCACGCACTCAAGATGACCTCGAGGGTTGGCGAGTCTATGAGAGGTGAGATCCTGTTGGTATTATCCCCGGCAAGAAGGAGGGGGATTCGGATCAGTCCTGCGCCTTGCTTTTTGTTGTTGCAGGCGTTTGTTTTTTTCGATCGTTTTGATGAGCTTCTTTTTCCTGGCTGGCTGAGAAGCACTTGGCCCAAGGGAGCCCGATCAGCTGTGGCTGCCGGAAGGCTCAGGGTGTAGCTGGGCTTGGGCGGCAATCGAGGCCCGAATTAAAAGAATTTCCAGTGGTGTCGGGCACAACGCTGTCTCGGAGGGTTGTTGTGTGGGAGTGGCCTTCGGAAGTTGTCCGGGGGGGTTAGGGAGGTTGGCGAGGATGGGTAATCAGAGACGGACGCTATATTGGCAGCGCAAACAGTTGAGGGAGAGGAGAACGAGGTGTGGCGAAACCAGGCAGTGACAATGGGCGTCACGTCAATTAAAGGAAGAGCATATATTAAAAGCGGCGGTTTCCTCGACGTCTCTTCATTCCACAGGCAGGAACGACGGCGGGGACACAATGAGCGCAACCGGACATGGAAGGTACGGTGCAGTCAGGCAAGGGCCAGAACAGATAACGGGCAAGAACGTTGGCCTTCGGAACACAGCACAAACTTGAGAATAAAAGATGAAGAAAGGACCCGCCGACAGGTTCAATCGGCTTGCGCATCGAGTGCTTCCATGCGAGGCCAGGCCCTGGTGGCTAACATGGAAAAATGGCCGTTACCTTGTCCAGGGGGCATGGGGTTAATTCATCCTTTGATCATTGCTAAAGGCTGAAACACCGTTTCCAGCATTTGGCTCTCCGGAAAGATGTCAGGATCTTCTTCCAGAACTTCCCCCCATTGACCCTGGCTAGTCTTGACGATTAACCGATCTGGTAATCAGGGCAGCAGCTTAGGCATGTGCTTTCGCCCATTCACCCTTCCATGCCTGTTGTGATGGGATTGGACTGGTGTGGATGGAGGTACCTTACCTGGACGGAGTGCCTTACCCCCCCCCCCCCCCCCTCCCCTCCATTCTTCCGTCGAGCCATCCCAAATAATAACACACCCCGGCTTGATTTTCGGCGCCAACCAGCTGCACAAACAGATAGTTTGTATCAGTGGTTGGCCGCTGCCTGACCCCTTCCACGGAGCTTCTTTGTTGCGCTCCAGGGCCGTGGCCAAAGAGTGGCCGAGGGTGTGAGGGTCGCATCCTTGTCCAGGGTAGGCAGTGGTTCATGCGCAAAAGGGTGGTATCCGGCCGGGAACGACCCCCATGAGGGAGATCTGATCGTGGAATCTGAGGAGCGGGCGGGCATGGAAGGCGATCAAGAAGAACTGGAATGGCTTCTAGCGTCCAAGCGCATCGCGGACCGCTCCCAAATGAGCCCACATCGCAGGGTTGGATAAGTGCAACATCAATAACCGTTGAGCAATTGTGGGCTCGCAACGGTGCCCACCAATTCGGAAAACAGATGCCATCAATTCCGGCGCGCCGCGCGTTGGCGTTCGGGTGGCTGACGGTGATGATCTCTGCGAAAATCCCCTGCCGAGGTTTGGGAGACTTGTTGCCCGCCCGCCCTGCGCTGGCTCGTCCAGGTGTTGTTCCCAAGGGTTCAGCCATCCCTACCCCCTGGCTTACCTCCACTTTGGGAAAGGCGCGACCCCGATCCAGCGCAGCCACAAATTCTTTCCCGCCTTCCCGGGAGCTGAGGAGGGCGCTCACAAGCAATTTGGAAGGTAAGGACAGTGTGTATGGAGGTACTTCGTATATGCCTAGGTACGAATACAAGTTCCTCCCTTGGTAGAATAATATGTCGTTTTTTTTTTTTTTTTTTTTTTGTTTTTTTTTTGTATATCACTTAGCCACCCCTTCTCGCGCCGCTTGCAACTACGAAAGTGCTTTCAGAGTGAACAGTACCAAGACGCAAGCTGCCTTGCCCCTCCCAAGCCAGTCACGGGCATTGACCTCACAGAAATAACAGCACGAAGAAAACCGAAGACCGCGCTAACGTTAAAAGACGTGGCGCGGCCGAAAGCTTCCAGAACAACATGAACGTCCGGGCTGGGCATGGAACGGAGGAATGCCGCTTGAGGCCTGTAATAAGCGCTGTCATGCAGCGAGGTGCTGCCCACAACAAGGAGCCCCTCGCCGGCTGGACAAACCAGGTTTGCTCTGAGACCACTAGTGCCGGGTACCTTGCATGGACTCGAGCTGGGGCGGTTCAGTGGCCGCACCGCCTTGGAGTTTGGACGGAGAGTTGATCGTAGTTGCATCGAATGAGAACGGCATCACGGCATTGGCTCGTTTCTCAGCAGTCGCTCCAACAGCCAACCCCTTCAATTTCTCCAATCCGTTCCTCCAGCATGCAGTACGACGCATCGCCATGCAGATTCGATATTGGCTATTTGGGATGCAGGGCGGTGCTGGGCAGTCAGATATCTCTCGACATGGCCGGCAAGCTGGTAAAATGCCGGCTGGATTTCTGTTGTGCTTCGAACCACTCGTGCCCCGCCTCCAGGAGGTTCATGCAACATTCGCGAGCCAGCGAGACAGTGGAACAACCGGGTTGGGGCGGACAGAAGGGGTGTTATCAGATCCAAGGTCTTTTCTCTTGAGCGCCAACCGTCAACGGCAACTGTGAACTCCTAGCAGGCGAGCATGTCGCCCAACTGGTGAGAGCCGAGAATCCTGAGCGTATGCTAGCTAGGGTTTTTGAGCTCGGGCTCACGGCTGCTCTGATGAGGTGTATGTATGTATCAGCAGTGGTCCCCACGTGGGCGTGCACAAGCCCGGCGCAGTGGGCCGGCCGATGGCGGGGGCGCATCAGCGCTGTAATTGTCACGGAATCCGGAACGGCGTGTTGAACACCTCAGGGTCCCTCTGGCCCAGGGCCAGGGTGTTCGGCGGCTTCCAGAAGGAAAAGGCGAGAGGGAATCCAATAGTTATGGGACGAACCGGATCCGTCTAGCGCATGAACCTGATCTGCCCTAGGATGTCGGGCTGGCCGAGCAAGCGTCACAGGGCTGCACCCATTCTTCACACACCCCCGACCCCGATGATGTCGAGATTGGGCGATCAAACTTGATGTTGATGGCCCAAGACAACAAGCGCAAGACCTGCCCAAAAAGAAGCACCAAAAGAAAAGAAAAAAGAAAGGCCACGGCCCGCGTAAGCATATCCCCTCCGGTCCCGTTAGGGATCTCTTGACACCCGTCACGCGAGAACACGCGTTAACTAATATCGGAGACCACCAATTTAGGGCAGGATCTGAAGGTTGGAGACGGAGACCAGATAAAAAGCGAAGTGAGTGTGTTGAGCAACGACCCCACAGTGTTCGGAAACAAGGGCCGGGAGCCAAGTAGGCAGGGGCCAGAGAATGACGACATGGTTCTCACAGCGGTCTCAGCCCCTAACCCTAGCTTCCCAAGCTGCTTGGCTTATAGCCTGACCCCCACCCACCGTCTGTTCGGTCGCATATGCACGCACCATCAAGCACATGCTTCTGGGAAGAAGGAATGCGACAGGATGTGAGAGTACTAACGGCAAAACATCACCGTAATTCCGATACAAAACTGAGCATGCAGAGAGGAACCCACGCAAGTACTATGGGACAGCCCTCTGCCAAGCCCGCACCTGCGCCAAACTTCGGCGCCTGCTTCGACTTCGAGAGCTCTTTCCACCTTTCCACACGTGCTTCCGTCTCGGATAAATTACCAATTCCAGATTCCGATTTCGCATTCTTTTCGGTTCAAGTGGTGTGCTTGTTTTCTCAACAGGCCCAACCTGGAAAACAACAAACTGAACCGACAATTCAAGGCACTTAGGGATGGAGGTATGTACATAGTTCGGCTAGGCAGGGAGTTGTTGCCGATTTCCAACTCTCAATGCCCCGAGTTTTGGCCCGAAAACCGTTTATCGCTCAGTGCCGCCTCCACTTATGCATGTCTTGCAGCGGGCATATTCAACCTGCATTCAATCGCCTCGGTCTCAATTGGCGCTTCCAATCGTCCAATAACAAACACCTTGGCATTTCATTCTCGCCATCATACCGAGGGTCGCTATTCGCCAAGCATTTCGTTCATCGCATCCCAGGTCCGGTAGACACACAGAACGGCAGGTGCCTCTCGGCTCTCGTCCCTGGGTAAAGCCAGAATGGCTGCATCTCATCTGGATCATTGGACATTCACATGTAGCGCTGCCCAGACGTTGCTGGCGGATCTGACAGTGTTGCACCCGGCTCGCTTCCAGAAATTCGCATTCTTGCCAGGAACCACTCACCCACAAGCCACCGAGTGCCATCGTGTGCCATCGTGTAGGTAGTCATAACCGCCTTGCAGCCGCGCTATCTGACCGGTAGTAATATGTGCATTCTGCTATGCATGTCCAGATGAAGTCGACTAGGCAACCTGCCCTGTCTCGGGCCTCCGGAGGAAGCTTCTCGGACATGTGTGGCAGGTAATGAGAAGGCAATACCACCACCATCCTGGATTGACCCTGTCTGGCGCCCCGGCAATAAGTCAATGCGGCCATGTCGAATGGCCAGCCATACCCTCTCACTATCCGCCTGCTCATCAGCTCTTTTCTTCATCCTACAATGTCCATCAGTGGGCCGAGACGAGAACTGACTCCTCTCTGCAGGTTTGATCTTCGTTTAGCCAGATTACCAATGCGTTGTGGAAGTGTCGGTTTTTGTCGTATTCAGTCTGTGCCAGCCTTCCCCCCAAAGATATCGTTTGGATACAGAATTCTGGCAAAAATCAATGGTCGGGCCGTTTTTGGCCAGGTACAGCATCCTTTATCAGATTGGCGAGCCGAATTTGAAGATATAGTACGCCATACTAAGAGGGAAAAAAGCCACCCGATGTCGACTTGTCGGTTTTATCTGAAATCAGGAGGAAGGGTGCCGGGTGGTGGAACAAGCGCCGATATTGCACGGAGTCTTCCGCCTTAGCCGCCTCGACCAAGGCCAAGTGGAACTCGAAACCCAATGATATTATCTTCTCTCGGCTGTTCGCTGGGCAGAGTTTCGGGATGCCGAGCTAACGGGTGTTGTTCCGTGTTGCCAGCGGCAAGTTGGAGGTTGGTCAGATTAACCTGGTTTCTTTCGCAAGCATAAGGCAGCTGGCTATTGACCTCGGACAGCTACCTCAACATGTTCAACAGCCCACAAATTCGGAGACCACGGCAGTCCTGCGAAGCGAAACGCCTCTGACGGAATTCCCGCACACGCCGATAGATGCGAGCGTCGGTTGTTACATCGCGCCTCTCCATCGCAGCTCTTGGGTTATGGATGGAACGCTACTTGCTTGCAGGCGATACAGTGACCTGGACACGCAGCCCCCATCTCGCACGCTACGACATGATTTCCCGGATTCGCCTGTATTGCTCGGCGCCACTCCGGAACCACACAAGCAGAACCGGGCCGGCTGAGTCCAGCCGGGACAAGCGACTGGAGCCGACTTTTCGACTATTCTCGAAAGAGCCTGACTTCTCCCATACTCATGATAATTAGACGATGTCTTACGATCAAGACTCATCGGGCGGTCATTTGTGTATGTCATGAACATCCATCCGTTGCACAGCCCGTCATTCCGAATCGGGGGGACATCTTCCGCCGGTATAAACTGAGTCTCGTCCGGGCCGTTTCCTACGCGGACATTCCCGAACCTTGTTACCAACCGATGTCGCATCCTAACCGTTGGGATCTGGCAGCCGTACGACATACCACCCGTTCAAACTTCTTTCCACCTCCCGTTGCTTACCTAGGTAGGTAAACTCCACTGAGCCATACTTCGCAGCATGTCATGTTTATTACTTATCCGCCACAAATTCACTAATGGTGCAATCTGTAACTACTCTTTAGACCCCAATCTACGTGTCATTGCATATGAATGTAGGGGTTGGCCGGCACTCCATTTCTCCCGGTAATGGATGTTGTAGACATTTAAAGAGACCGATATTGTCTTCGGCAAAGTGTAGCGCGACTACCAATCTATCATACCGCTGCACCGCGCTTCTCCTTAACGCCGAGCAACATTTCCCAGAGGCACGTTTGCCAAAAACAGCCGGTCGTACTAAAATCTCCGCTTTCAAAGACCGAGAACCCTTGGGCGACATCACGAACCACTACTCTAAGCAGCCACTCAGATGCCGTATTGTAACTATGCGCAAGAAGCATCTCCTGGGCCGAACTCGTGCTGCTCAGCAGAAACTGTGCCCCGGGGCTCAAGTTGGTCGGACATAACAGAGTCGTTCCCATCGCTGCTTGCATATGCACTATCCGCCCTTGCAACGAAGGTGTCGTGCAGGAAAGACAGGAACCGGTCGACGTCGTGAACTGTGCTCATCGCTCCAAGGCTGGCTCGAACCACACTGTGTCTGAGTGTTAGTAGGAAAACGGTGGATAGGAGTGAGGTGCAAGGCTTACCCAGTTGGCAACTCGTTGATGAGGCCAATCCCATCGGGACCTAGGATACGGGTTTAGCACCAAATCGCATTGAAATCAAGATGGTATTGAGGTAAACCTACCACAATGATGCCCAGCAGATCGAGCCCGGTGTAACTGCCAAGGTTCATATCGTAATGCCGTGAACAGCCCGCCAGGACAACAGATTCCTGGTCCCTCCCAGTCAGTATTTGATATGGCCTTGCCCCTTTGTAAGTAAACAGAAACAGAGGGGGTTGGGCTTACCACCAGAACGCACATATACCCCCCTATTGTTGGCCAACCTTTCCACCGTGGCATAGGACTCGTATCCTCCATCAGCCCGAAACACATTGAACGCCACCGTAGCACCCTGTAACCTAGCATCACCGAACGCCTCTCCCTCGTCTTCGCCCTCATAAATCTTGCATAGCGGTTGCCCATTACCGTACCGCAACCCCCTCATCCCCACATACATCCGCCTCATCAACGCCGTTGTATGTGTTGAGATGTTATCCATCGACCCGTACAGCTCGGCATGGACATCGATGGCCTCCCCGAGCGCCAGGATACTGTGAAATGGCAACGTCCCGTCCTCGAGTCCCTCATGTAGCGCGGCACCATGTTCCTCTCCAGCAGTCGCCGCAGTCCCGCCTTCCAGCCCCTTCGAGAGATGCCAGGCCCCGCCAACAGTGCTCACCATCGACACCGTCCCGCCGCCAAAGTACTTCCTCAGCGCCAGGATATGCCCCGACTCTTTGCGAACCACTAGTCCGCCCAGGTCAGGGGAAACCAAAGATCTTGTAGAAAGAAACGCAGACAAAATCCGGCGCTGCCTCCGGATCCGCAAACACCTCCCCCAGCCCGCTCGTCATCGCCAGCGCAGCGGCGTCCATCAAACTGTACGTATCGCCCCGCCCGCACCGCGCCAGCCCACGCACCCTCCGCGCCCACTCCGCCACCGGCAGCCGCCGCCCCGTCAGGTTGGACTGCCCCGGCCACGCGACCAAACCCAGGCTCGACGCCCTCCCCATCCCAGCATCACCACCACCAGCACCATACCCAGACCCCGACCCCGACCCCGACTCGCCATCCAACCACCGCTCCACCTCCGCATCCCCCCCACCAAAACAATAATGCCCCCCTCCCCCCGTCAGCTCCCGCACCCCAACCAAACTAGTATGCGCCTCAGCATGATAGCCATACCAAAACCCACCCCCCTTTCCCCCACCCCCCCAATAACCATCACCCGAA